GGCGCCGAGCCTGTAAATTGATTTTTTTTCTTCTGGGTAGATGCCTAGTAATGGGATTGCAGGATCAATGGGAAGTTTAATTTGAGTTCTTTGAGGATTCTCCATACTTCCTTCTAAAAAGTTTGTATCAGTCTGCAGTCTCACCAGCAGTATAACAGTGTTCCCTTCTCTCCACATCCACGTCAGCATCTGTAGCTTTGAGACTTTGTGATGTGGGCCATTCTTACTGGAGTTAGGTGAGATATCTCAGGGTAGTTTTGATTTATATTCCTCTGATAATTAGGGATGATGAACATTTTTTCATGTTTGTTAGCCATTCGTTTGTCTTCTTTAGAGAAGGTTCTAGTCATGTCTCTTGCCCAATGGAATTGAAGGTCTTTTTTTGTTGATATGAGTTTTCTATAGATCTTTCTCTCTTTTTTCTGAGATAGGATCTTGCTCTTTTGCACAAGATGGAGTACAGTGGTACAATCATAGCTCACTGAAGCTTTGAATTCCTGGGCTCAAGTGATCTTCCTGCCTCAGCCTTCCAAGCAGCAAGGGCTACAGGTGCATGCCACCATGCCCTGGCTTTTGTGTGTGTGTGTGTGTGTGTAGATTCAAGGGTCTTGCTATGTTGCCTAGGCTGGTATTGAACTCATGCACTCATGCAATCCTTCTACCTTGGCTCCCAAAGTGCTGAGATCACAGGGGTGAGCCATTGCACCTGGCCTAGAGCCTAATTTCTTATTTAAATTCTCTCCCTTCTTCTCTCCTCCCCAACCTCACCCCAGGGATTCTTTTTTTTCATATTCTAAAAGGTTTGTAACACTCTGAGCATTCTAAGGCATGTAAAGCTATTGTGGATGTTTCATTTTTATATCTGAATTCCCTTACTCATATGCTGTGGCATCCCCACATCTTTATAATTCACCAACAAAGAAAATGGAATGGGGAGGCATGGCATATGTTTCTGTATTACCACCTTATAAAATTTTCACTGAAATGGTTCAAATGTATGTTCTCCATGATCTATGGATCCCCTAAATTCATATTGAATGTTACAAATTATGTTTCTAAAAGTAGGCTACATTCTTCTCAGAGTCATGGACTCAGCTCAGAAAATGCAAAGAACATCCAAAATTCTATCTTTGGGTCAGAGTCTCAAGCTGTCGCCCTGGGTAGCATGCCATGGCGTCATAGCTCACAGCAACCTCAAACTCCTGGGCTGAAATGATTCTCCTGCCTCAGCCTCCCAAGTAACTGGGACTACAGGCACCTGGCACAACACCTGGCTAGTTTTTGGCTGTAGTTGTCATTGTTGTTTGGCGGGCCAAGGCTGGATTTGAACCTGCCAGCTCTGGTGTATGTGGCTGGTGCCCTAGCTGCTGAGCTACAGGTGCTGGGCCTATCTTTTCTTTCTTTTTTTAAAGACACAGTCTCACCCTGTTGCCTAGGCTAGCATGCCCTGGCATCAGCCTAGTTTACAGTAACCTCAGACTCCTGGGTTCAAGTAATCTTCCTGCCTTGGCCTCCTAATTAGCTGCAACTACCTGTGTCTGCCACAATGCCTAGCTAATTTTTCTATTTTTAGTAGAGATAGGTCTTGCTCTTGCTCAGGCTGATGTCCAACTCCTACGCTCAAGCTATTTCCCACCTCCGAGAGCACTAGGATTACAGGTATGAGCCACCATGCTTGGCCATAATTCCTACCTTTATCTTTTCCTATAATAGGCAATCCATGTCCTATCTGGAAAAGAGAACTTTCTAGAGCCTCTTATTTTAAAAAGAGAATTTAAAATCCCATTCCAAATGCAAGTATGAAAGCTTTAAACAGAAAGGTAAAGACAAAGTCTGCATGTGCCATTTTGGAGGGGATTATTCACAGGACTTTTTTGTATGTGGTAGTACAAACCTATACTCATAGACATTGACACAGTTAACAAAAACATACTGTATAGAGAACACGAGGAAGCAAATGACCTAAATGAATAAGGTTTAATTTTTTTTTTTTTTTTTGAGATAGAGTCTCACTACTTTACCCTTGGTAGAATGCCATGGCATCACAGTTCACAGCAAACTCAAACTCTTGGGCTTAAGTGATTCTCTTGCCTCAGACTCCCAAGTAGCCGGGACTACACTACAGGTGCCTGCCACAACACTTGGCTATTTTTTTTTTATTGCAGTTGCCATTGTTGTTTTAGCTGGCCCGGGCTGGGTTCAAACCTGCCAGCCTTGGTGTATGTGGCTGGCGCCATAACCACTGTGCTATAGGCAACAAGCAGGTTTAATCTTTTTTAAACTTATAAAGATGTCTCTAACTATAGAAAATCTTTAGATAAAATTTATATTAGATTACAGAAACTAATTAGATAGCCAGTTTTTTTTAAAAAAACAGTTTTCGTTTTGTTCTCATAAGAGAAAAGCATTATTCTAAAAACTTAGCTTATCAATAAATGAAAGTTGAAAAACTAGCTGTTTGGCTCGGCACCTATAGCTCAACCGGCTAAGGCGCCAGCCACGTACACCTAAGGTGACGGGTTCGAATCCCCAGCCCGGACCCGCCAAACAACAATGATGGCTGCAACCAAAAAATGGCCAGGCGTTGTGGCGGGCGCCTGTGGTCCCAGCTACTTGGGAGGCGGAGGCAGGAGACTCGCTTGAGCCCAGGAGTTGGAGGTTGCTGTGAGCTGTAATGCCACAGCACTCTGCCCAGGGGGACAGCTTGAGGCTCTGTCTCAAAAAAAAAAAAAGAAAGAAAAACTAGCTGTTTGTCCAAAACGCTTTATTACATCTTAGGAGAAGCTATTTTCGCTGAGTTCTTTGTAGATTCATCAAATACAATCACTTGCTGGAAATATAAGTTATCATATCAAATTATCACAGAGGAAAATATAAACTTACATCTCTTGATTACTGCTCTAATGGACGACAACGGTCCTTGGCTAGAAAAAGAAAAGAGAGAAAACTTATTACATTCATAATTCCTGGTCATTTCGGGGACTCAATATGGTACCAAGCAGTAAGTTTGACACATTAATTACTGGCCTATCCTCTTTACAAAACAAAAATTGTAGAAATTTTATAATTATCTGTTATATTTAAGATGTTTTATAGGAATAGAGGAGGCTGGTACAGTGCAGTGTAAATAAAAATTTGCCTTAGAATTGCTTTCATAGCTACCTACATACTGCCCCTTCCAGTGAATTTCTGGATCCCACTTGTAGTTAGATAGCATTATATTGTGCTCGAAAGATCTTTATTCCTTATAGCTCTTTTGTGTTCACCATTAAAATTCATATCTTCTCATATCATATGAAAAAACATCATCTTATATAGTCAATTTGACCTAAGAAGCAACATTTCTTCATAAGATTAGCATTTGAAACATCACCCCTAAAGATGATAAAAATCTTCTGAGCATATTGGTCGTTTCCTCTTTCTTCTTCTCCCCTCCTCTCCTCTACTGTCCTTCTGTCTTTATCATGGCATGACGTAACGACGTAACAAGGAGGCCCTCGCCCACCCATCTATCTTGGACCTCCCAACCTCCAGACCCATAAGCCAATACATTTCTGTTTATTATAAATTACCCAGTCTGTGGTATTCTGTTAGAGCAGCATAAAACAAACCAAGACAACATTATTCTGCCAGACAGGAAAAAAAATTAAGTGCCAACAGGTCTCTGATAACATGAAGCAAAGATGGTAAAGATGGTTTCAACAATACAAATTATTTTTAAAAAGAGTGCTTGAAGGCTTTGGGTAAAACAACTACTTGAGTAGAAAGAAACAGTATAAGGTAGAGGTTGAGTATCTTTCATGTGAAATGTTTAGGATCAAAAATGCTTCTGATTTTTTTTGAATTTTAAAATATTTGCATTATATGCTTACTGGTTGAGCATCACTAATCCAAAAATCTGAAATTCAAAATGCTCCAATGAGCATTTAAGTCTTGTATTGGTGATTAAAAACTTTTGAATTTTGAGCTAGGTGCACTGGCATGCACCTGAAGCTGAGGCAGGAGGATCACCTGAACCCAGAAGTTCAAGGCGAGTCTGGTAATGTAGCAAGTCTACCGCAAAAAAAAAAAAAAATTCAAATTTTAGGACATTCTGGATTTCAGATTTTCATATGAGAAATGCTCAACCTGTCATATATTAATAAAAGAAGAAATAGCCTGAAAAAGCAAATAGGTTGACAATGTCTTACAAGAGAAACTTCCTGGAGCAACAGAGGAGAAAATCTGCATGTCAACACTGTATCCACTGACACAGCAATTACAACAATCAACAGATACCTAGAAGAAGGGCCAAAAAAGGCCAACATTCCATGGTGTGCCCAAGCAGGGCAGAAAGGTTGTTATGAATTTAAGACATCCTTTGTTACTCTTGTGGGAATTGGAATATGTACCCATTGGGATAGAACATGGAGATGTTATAGGTTGAATTGTGTCCTCTCTCAAAAAGATATGTTGAATTCTTTCCCCTAGTACTTGCGAATGTGACCTCATTTGGGGAAATGGAGTCATTACCGATGTAATTAGTTAAGGTCATAGTGGAACAGGATGGGCCCCCATCCAATATGACTGGTTCTTAATAAGACAGTGTAGTAAGACAGAGAATAGCAGTGAAGGCAGAAACTATGGTTTTGAAGATGATCCTTTATCTCTGTCTTTCCATAGAGCAAAGGCTACAGGTGAAGGTAAAACCGCAAGACTCTATAGCCTGAAGGGAAAATCTCACAGAATCCCCCTTCAGCCTTCAGCACAGCTCAGGCTCATGAATCAACAGGGCACCGCACCTCCAACCAGAACAGCCGGCACAGGACAATAGATAGATACGGCTACAGAACCACTGACCAGAGAAAGGAGCAGTGAACCCTGAGGGTTCACAGACCTACTTTTGAAGCCCCCTGTCCACATTCCTGGTGCCTACACTTGCTACCTGGAATGACTTCATGCTAATTACTTAGCTTCAATAAGGCCTCTTGTATCCTCGTGTACAAAAGCAGGAAAAAAAAAAATACTCCCAAATGAAGCTGCTGTAAGAGGAAGAATATTAAAGCATTTTATAAAATGTTTGGAACAAAGGTATGTATGTTCAATACCTGTGTGCTGCTATTATCTTTGTTCATGTTTGTTCATTATCTTTAGAGGTATCACAAAACATCTGAGGACAAAGCAAAACCACAGTGCGAATTCTTAGCCTCACCTAAGCAAATCTGATCTCTCTTTTCATTTTGGATCATGTTTTACTTATAATAAGAGAAATATTTATACAGCTTTCAGGGCAACAAAGCCTGTTTCCAAGTTTAAACACACAACAGTTCCTTGGTGAGGAAAGCGCTTTCATAAACCAGCAACAGGACTGGTGGGTTTGGCTTGTTTGGTGCATGATTCACAACATGATTCATAACGCCCGCAGGTGCTTACTGTCAACCACACATCTGTTTTGGGGGCTCCCTCTGTGTGCAGAGGCAACTGAGTATGTTGAAAACACAGTCTTTGTTAGGAACCCTCAATAAAAGCCAAGGGCATACCCCTGTGGTAGTAATCAGCAAAGCAATTAGCTTAACAAAGAGTTAATTAAGCTGGTGTGATAAGGAGCCTAGCTCTCTGCAACCAGTAAACATAACAGTGAATGTGAAGTTGATTCCCTTGCACCATCTTCCCCCAGAGCTCTCCAAGTTTGGATTGGCTCAACCCCACGTCCTAGCAGAAGGGTTTAGGCAGGTTGGTGCCACTTTTGCAGGCTGAGATCGATATTCTCTCTCATCCATTTGATATGATATGTAACAGGGCCAGGAATGCCTTGAAAGCACACACTCTGACCTCTGTGAAAGATAAGTATCCGACTACATTCCTACTTAGGTCACAGTAGACACAAAGTGCTAGAGATGCAGAGAACGTACACATCACTCCATCTTGGTGCCTAAGGAATGGCTTCTAAAATGTACCTGGACTGAAACCTGAAGAATGTACAAAAGGAAAGATTCTAAAGAATAAGTGTCAGGCAGTACACGCGAAAGACCAGAGGTTAAGAGCTCAGTTAAGCATGGTCTGGGCACAGCATCTGAAGGTGCCATGGCAGAGATCAGAACGGCCTGGAACTGCTATGACAAGAGATGAAGTAGGAACTGAGTTCAGAGGGAAGTACTGCTGTCAGGTATCACTAGTCAGGTTGAACACTGAGAATCCGTGAGTCAGGGAGATGGCAGTAAAGTGTTTCAAAAGCAAATGACAGTTCACTTGGGCTTTCTCCTCGGAAGAAGCATTATTGACTTTAGCGGGGCTGTATGTGCCAGCAATAGTGTTTGTATCCATACCTGCCTTTTTCAAAGGATCTATGAACAAAGCCTGGAGCGCTGTTATTCTACTGTGGGTAGATTCACATTCTTGGGAACCAAATATATGTAGATAGGACTGACATGCTAATATCTGATGAAACAAATAACGAGTGAAGGAAGGGAAGGGTAGATGAAAGCACGCGAGCAAGAGGTAGTGGAGGTTTTTGGAAGTGCCAGGAAGTCCAGGGCGTCTTACTCAAGCATGAATTTATTCATTTACGAAGCTCTTACTACATACTTGCACTGCACCACAAACTGAGAACATCAGTATGAATAATATACAACCTTGTGCATTTCTTTACTGATGACACCAACAAAATGTTTTACAAGGCATTATAGGAACTCAGAGACTGGGTGTCTAAATTCAATGGGGGGTGGGGTGGGGTGGGGATGGCTGAAGAAAACAGAGATGATGCTTGAAAAGTACTAGTGCAGGGTTTCTTAACCTGATGTTAGTCACATTTGTTGCAAGAGAGGAAGGATTTTCTAGTATGTTATAGGACATACTGCAGCATTTCTGGCTTCTACCCACTAGAAGTCAGTGGGACACTCCACCACTTTAGTTGCTGATGATCAATAATGTCCCCAGGTATTCTCAAATGTCCCCTGGGGGTAAAATAACCCTCTGTTGAGAACCACTGAATTACTGGCAACAAAACAGATAACAGGATTTATATGGCTGGGAACGTAGCTGTCTTCATTATTTCTGGCTGGCAAGACAAGTTGATGATGCAGCAGTGGGATAAAACTGAGGGCTGGATGTGAAGGAACAGGATAATGGCAGTGAGGAGGACAGAAGGAAGGAAAATAAATAAATTTCTAGCACCAATAACCAATAGCTGTTTTAGAAAAGCGGTAGTAGGGTTACACTAGGTAGAGAAATAAGTCTATCAAAGAACATGGAAAGTCAGTCATTCTATGAAGGGAACATTTATAAGTCAAGGATTACCTGTGCTTTTGAAATGACAATTTATCTCCTAACCACAATAAAACAAAAAGTCCTTGACTTGCTGCAATACAGAAAAGAAAAAACCCATTACATGTGATTTTCCCTGTGTTTTCTATCTGGGTGCATATTATATACAACTTGTACCACCTTATAGTAACTGCCAGATTAAGGCAATATATTATGTAATGGAAAGAAAGAATTAGTAAGTAAATTATACTTTGCCACAGTGCCATTTTAATAATGTCTAAATTAATATCACCATCACAATATAACAGCCAGATGTGATAAACTATGGGGAACAAGAAAGAAGTAAAGTTATTTGAAATTAGTTTTTAAAACGTATAGTTCTGATGAGCCTCCATATAAAATCTGGCAGGGAAGGGATTTCCTTCTTAAGAATTAGAAAACAAGAATTGGTAAAGAAAAATAATGAGATCCAACTGGAATGGCTTTTGCCCCAGTTAAAAACTGTAACAAAACCATGAAGTACTTCTGTTAGTTCTGTGAAATCTTTAGGAGGACGTCCTATGAGCTTTGAATTCACTTTTTCATCATCACTGATGAAAAGTATGACCACTGAGATCAATAACACAACATCAAGTTACATTGGTTACTTTTCTACTTAATTCTTTTCAAGGACAAACAAATC